AGGATTCACCTTAACTGTTTGCTTTACCACTGTTTCCTTCATCACATTTGCTGACCCTTCTGTGATTCACCACACCTTAATGAGGAAATTATTCCATTTAATTCGATGAGGCATTAAGTTTGGAGCTTTTGGTTTTGACTTTAGCCACACAAGTGTTGTTTTGCTTAGTGATTTGCTCAGGCTCATTAGAAATCTGACTTTGATACTGTGTATCGATTCATACACTCTCAATTATTAACACATTTCAAGTGTTTGCAGATTTGTGCATCTGCATGTACATGTGTACATACACACAGAGGAGGTAATATTTTCCAAGGTTAAAAGGTTCACCCATCTGGAATCATCCAAAAAGGAAATACACATTCAAAATTTGTGGTAGCTTTGAAAACCTCAGTACACTGTAGATGGATAAACACCATAGCTGGATTAGACACATACCAATCACTTAGTTTTTTGCTGAAACTTACAGTGAGTCACTAGTATCAGTTTCACTGTGGAAAGACCAGCACCCCATCATAATACAGATACATACTCACACACAAAATGTCATCCAGTAACATGCATGCCTAACTAAGAAGAAAAGCATCAAAATAAGTATGATTAAAAGGGCTCAGAAGAATTACTTAATTAGTAGAAGGTACAGCAGTTCTCAAAACCTTGGGAACTTTTCAGCCTACTAGTTGGAGGCAAGTCTAGCTCTATATCTAATAAGATCAATTTCTGTTCAGTGCATTTATTTATTCTCCAGATTGAACAAGGGATAAAAAGCAGATATGCATGAAACTGACAGCCATGGTTCTCTTTTGTTTAGGATTATCCATTGTTGAATCATTTTTCACTGCAGCTAAAGGGTCTGTTTTAACTTTCTGACTGTTCATCACACATAATTTGGAGTATTTAACATTATGTCGAGAAAATTGTCCACTGCTTCCCACCAAGGAAACCTATTGGGAGCTCTATATCTTTAAACTAGTTTTACTTAATGCATTCCGTTGAATAGCATGACTGTCTTACTCTAATCAGTGCAGTCCTAATATAATTAATCTCAAAATTGCTGTGGGGAGTACAAGGCATCTCAGTTGCTTGTTGTAACAATCTAAATTAGCCTATTACCAAAAGATGTTGGGGAGGAACAGTTCACTTTAGGTAAATGCTGTCAGGATATCCATCCTTTCTATTTCTAAAGCTGAAATTAAAACTATCATCATAGTTCTCCTTTTGAAATCCAAATGAGTACATTTGGAGGTGGGAAAGTATAATTAAATTTGATGTGGTATTCCTACAGATGCAGTTTTGCATTTTATAATAACTGAATTTGCTTGAATAAAGATTCATGTTTTATTTAGAAAAGAAAAACTGGTTTGGCTCAAAGCATGCCATTGTATCAGAACAATTCCCTTTTGTCACTGAAACTTCACAGATGGTTGCTTCTTCTCTTCCTAACCAAAAATTTACTCTCGCTGTTTTACTTTTTACACAGACATCCTTTAAGTGTTCTACTTAGAGATATTCTGACTGGGTATGCGACTCCTCTAATGTACAGCACATCTCGGAAGTGAACTTTAAAGAATTACATTTAAAAGTAATTCCACTAATGATAGTGATTAATGATAATAAAATGCAGAGAACAGCTGATGTAAATGCCTAGAATCCCATACTTGGTGTTGTTTAACCTCATCCCCTCTTCTCAGGAATTAAATCAAACATCAAATGAAATAGAAACACGACCCTAATACAAAGGTTACAAAAGGTGACGAAAGTAGTAAATTGAGGCCAGTTTGGCCTGTTATTCTTTGTGGTCCCACAACACAAGAATAGGAAGTGTTTTCAGTTTGCTACTACTAAAAAAAATGATCTGAGTAAAATTTTATCTTTTAAGGTCTAGCAATTAATCTTTCAACCACAGGTAAGGGCAGAGAGTAAGATTCTTGCTGGGCAGAGAGTAAGGTTCTTGCTGTGCAAAGAGTTTAAAGTGCTTCTCCTGCTCAATAAATATGCTCCCCAACATTAAAATAACAAGCCAGCTTTGTCAACTTATTTGTCAACTGTCTGAAAGAAAGTCATATATTCATTTAGATGTTGTATTTTTTCAGTGATGATCCAAAGCAGAACACTGAACAATCCAGAGAGATTATCACCTAATCTGTTCTTTTAATATATATAAGAAATCAAAATGTAAGTAAAACAAGCACTGAATAATTTAAAAAGTGCATAACATTAAGGGTCTGATTTTAATTTGCATATTTTTTTCCATAATAGTGCCTAATTAAGACATCAGCTTAAAAAAACAAAAAACAAACAAACAAACAAACAAAAAAACCCCAAACCCAGAATTCTAAGATTTTCCACACTGAATTAATGTTAAGGACTTTTAATGGATGTCTTAATTAGACTTTGTTATTCATGGAAATTTTACATAAATTTGAATCATGTCCTGCATGCAACATTCCCAGCTGAGTCTCAGCAAAAATGCTATACGGGACTGAAAGACTTTTAATCCATGCGCATCTAGCAATTTATATTCTAAAGCCAACATACTCTATTTTCACTTTCTGGTTTAATTTGCATTAATATTGTAACCAACAAAAATCACATAGTTATCTCCCCTCAAAGTAAATTTTGATTTTACGGACCCACTTTTTTTTTTAAATATGTAGAAAGTCATGCAGCTGGACCAGAGCATTAGCCCATAGGGACAATAGCTACAATGACCTTCTGAACAGTCCAGAGAGGCCATATCTGTTATTCAACACAGAAAATTTGATTCAATCTCAATTTCTGTTGCTGTTGTGTTTGAAAAGCCTGTCATTACAAAACAAAACAAAGTACAAAACAAAATGCTGTCACAGCAACCCCTTCATCCCTGATAAGACTGTCCTTCCAAAGGAACCTAACTCTTAGGAGAAGGAAAACCCAACTGTTGTCTCTTCAGTTTATGTTCCCAAGGCTCTTCCAAAAAACATGCTGAAGCACAAGCTACAGGGCTCCTCAGGAGCCTTTCAGACAAGACATCAAAAATAAATAACAGCCTGAGCAGCAAAGATTACATTACATTGACACTGGAAATATTCCAAGTATTGTCAGACCAAGTCTCGACTGCAGCTTATCCTATACTGCACATCACATACTAACACTACGTGCTGATGCTATCATGGAAAGCAGTTTTGCACACAGTCCTTCACAAATTATTTCACTAATGAAAACCATATTAATTTCCCATATCAGACACAAGTCTGAATTGGTGAAGCCGCCAGGAACTCATCTGTTACTGCATGTTCTCTACAAAAAGAAGAAAAATCGTTTTGTGGGTCTGTGCTGTGCTCACTACAGCAACATCTTTGCATCTGTGCAAAGAAATGTCATGTGCCTACAAAACAGAGCAAGCATTACCTTGCCAGAGTTTATTTTCATTGTCAGTCTATAAATACTGACAATGAAAATACTACCTGTATGTTGGTGCCTGTGTATGCGTGCACACGTACACATCAGCACACTCCTTTCTCCATCCTGCAGCAGGAGCTTTGTCTCCAGCAGCCCTGCGTGGCCACAAAGGTGTCCAGACTGCAGCAGGGCATGGGACTCTAGGACCTGCCCTCCCAGTGCTGCCGAGCTGTTGAGTACAAGAGTTTTTCTTATGCTTGATAGAGGAACAACGAGTGGATATGGCTAACCTGTGTCCTTTATTCAACCATGCTGAACAGGAAAAGTTTCTGGATCACTTATATGCCAGCTACCAGTTTTCTCTGAGACCAGAATTAGTGAGATACATCCTGGAAATCACATATTCCTCATAGAATTTCTTTTGGAGGGTCTGCATTGCTTTACAGTACCTGGCTAGTCTGCGGGCTGGACGGGTCGTAAGAAGGTACATAATTCTTCAGAGTATCCTGAGGATTCAGGTGGGGAGGATATCTGATCGTTGGATGAGAGAAGTAGCTAGACGGGGCAGGAGGGAGAATAGCTTGTGCTGGAAATGGCAACGGTGAGGGTGGAGGTGGAGTTCTAGTTGAGATGACTGGAGAAGATAAAATAAAATTAAAATTACTTTGCATCTTGTTTCTTCTGAAACTCTTCACCTCTGTGTTATAGCAAGAAAAATAAAGAGTCAGTTATAAATGAGTACGCTGCAATCCTGCTTCACAGCATCCTTACAGAAAAACTTACATGTCTTTCCCTCACATCATCCCAGGCAATAGAAAGTGCTACTGTTTCATATTCATGAATACTGTATTTTGTTTTGTTTTTGTGGGTGATGCCATTATATTTTTTCATTTTTTCTTTAAACAGTAATCATTCACTAGCATAAAAGACATTTCAATTTTATAGTTTTCCCATCTGGAGCCTAAATAAAAAAAAATATTTTACTCAATAAATAAAACCTACAGTTTTATGCACAGCACTGCAACAGAGGAGAGCAAAGTCATCAAACCCTAACAAATAGTGATTCCTCACTGCATTGCACTCTACCTGCCTCATGTGGGGATGGGATAATAACTACTCATCAATAATGCCATGAATATTAGCTCACCTTTGTTTAAATGCTAATGAACACAAAACTTCAGGGCCTGGGAAACCAATCCTGCTGATAAAAATATCTCTGACAAACAAACAAGTATCTACCCTATACATTCCTTTGTATTCTCTTTCTTCCCAGCTCCTGCAAACACACATTTCTCTGTCTATAGACTATATGTAATGTCTAAACAATCAGCAATGTTTTCACAGTGAAAGGAATGTACAGCATGTCCTGCTGCTGCCCAGTTGTCCGGTTGGAAGTGGAGAGTTCTCCTATCACACTGCACAACAACCCATTTCCACCCTTACTACATATCTAGAGGGCGCCCAGTTGGCAATGCTTTTAAAAGGAGGTATTGAGTTCAATGAAAACAGAGAAAAGACAACAGTGTTTTCATTTTTTCTAATGGGAGGGTACAACATCAGGTCTGTATAAGGAAGGTATTTTATACAATGCTCACAGTTCTATACTTGCAGCACTCAGACTACCTGAACTGAGTTTAATGAGCACTCCTGCAAGGACACCCCAACCTCCAAGCAGACCAAATGAATAGGGAGGTATTTCTTCCTCCTCCATAACCCTCACCACTGTGTGCAACTCCTGGGATTCCTGGGTGGTGATGCTGGGGAAAAGTGCTCAGTCTTGGTGAAGAATCCTGGGGAGAAGTAGGACTAAACAAAGGCTTTTCAGGTTTCTTCATTGTAGGAGAAGACATATCTGCAATAGAAAAACAATGAAAGAGTGACATCAGCTTAGAAGCTCATCTCAGGACACATAATTTTGTAGACTTAAGATACTTATTTTTACTGTTCTTGCATAAATATTGTTTGGTGACCCAACTCCCCTAGGACCAATAAACTAATTTTAAACTATTGCTTTCAAACTTGAGAACAAATAACAATCCTCTAACTGGTCTTTGTGCTGCAGAACAGAAACTACATTCCTTTCATACCAGACAAGCCAACCAGCGAAGAAATGCATGTCTTCAGAATCTCCTTAGACATTTCTCAGCTCCCGAGAACATCACCAAATCATCTGCTCCTTTAACAACCACATAATCTTTATTGCATTTTTTAATGGAACACCTACACTCAGGTGTGTATGGTAACTGCCATACACATGACTGTTTATGGTACTTATTATTTTGTTATTTTAAAACCCGTCCCTTACTCTTCCCAAAACCATAGTGAAACAATGTAACCCCCTGAAGAATAAAGGATACTTTAACTTCCCTGTCTCAAATGTTCCACATCTTAAGTAGGTCCCTCCCACCTTTTCCTTCAAGTTTCCCTATCAACAAAAACATCTCTTTAGCACTTACTGCATGAAGATAACAAACTAGTAAGGAAAAATACATTATTTCTACCATGCAGGGTTACTAATATTGCCTAAAGCAAAAATACTGAATTATTTCTGAAACTTTAAACTAATTAAAAAACATTTGTTGAACTTCGCACCAAATTATTTCAAAGTTAATTATAATATTTTTATAGAACACACATCAATATCATAAGTGGGTTCCATTCCATAGGACACACATCAATATCGTAAGTGGGTTCCATTCCAAATCAATCGGACTAACTCATTTTTAAAGCAAAGGTCATTTCTTAAGTACAACAAAAAACAAGGGCCATATTGCAGATGGCTTTCCTACATGGACCGTGTTAGCCCTTAAAGTTATTTTGGCACTTTTAATATTGGCACACTGTATTGTGCTATTCTGGGGGACATACAATCATCTTGGAAGTCAAAGACTGGCCTGCAAAATGTGAGCGCCTTACTGACATCAAATCAGACCCATGCTTTCTGAACTGGCTGGAGATTAAGAGTGGGTTTTCACCCTTAAAACCCTACTTGGAGCATGACCCATCAAACTGAGAGACTGCTTGTCAGCTCTACCCCATCCCACTGTCAAGCCCTGCATAGGCACGGGCACAAAACTCAGAGTAGACTGATAGTGCCTCTCCACCATCCCCCTGCAATTACCTTGCTCCCCTTAGGTCTTGATGACTAAGTCTGCTGATTTCCCAGATATCCTGCAAGGTTTGCCTGTTCAAGAAGGCCTCTGAGAAAGGATTCTATTCAGGGAAACATTTAGCAAGAGCAAGGAATTGCTTTACAACAGAGCAATTCAACACTTATTCAGTTCTAACAGATAAGACAAAAGTTAATGTATGCTTTCTATTATCCTGATCTGTTGCAATTTTATGTCATTTTCAAAAACACTGAGTGCTGACAGAGGCACCTCTAGATGTCTTTGGTAAATAAATTGTTATTGAGGAAGAAAACAGAGGAATATTTTGGTTTTTTGAATCTATCAGCAGGTAGCAAATACAAAGTTGCCAAATCATTAACAGTTTTGTTGAATATGTTCTGCTAAGATAAGAAATAATATCTAAAACTGCAAGACTGAATTTTTTTAAATTGAGTTTTGCATAGGCAAACCATGATAAGTCAGCACATTAATTCTGGAACAACTTTTAAATATTTCATTGTGTTTTATTTTCGTCTCAAGTGACAGCCGTAGCTTCCTCATATAAGGTCCTAGTTCCATTAGAGCAAGAAAATTCTCACACCTCCACAACAGATGTAGGATTTCTTAAAAGCCCAGAACAAAATTAACCAGATATTGTCTTTGCACTGTGGTTCTGTGCACACACAATCTCTGTCTCTGCAGAAACACTGCAATGTTACAGTTTGAGAAAAAGGTAAATGTGCCTGTATAGACACAGCCCCCCACTACAATGCTGTGGTCATCACTAGTTGTCACAGAACTTATCAGTAACCAAAGATCTTGTATCTTGAGATTTAGGCTATCGCAAAAGAGAGCATGTATGAACAGATTAATTTGATTTCAAAGTAGAAGCACTGCACTTAAGTCTCCCTAAGGCAAAAATAAAGAGCCATGGTCTGGAAGTGGAAAATCTTTTCCTTATGTAAAGCTCATATTCAACAAAAGAATTCATGAAAGAACAAGCTGCCTAGCTCCTGAAGGACTACATGCGTCAGCAGCTCTGATTTCTGGAATGCAACAGAGATTTAATTTGGTTGGTGACTGTTACTTCATTAAACAAGTAAAAGTTGTGTTTGTCAAAACCAAAATATTTTAATTGCCCAAAAGAAATATGCTATATGAAGTGCGATGTAATCAGAGTATCCATTAACCCCCCAGTGGCATCCCTCATTTTAAAAGAATCTACCAAAAAGGAAATCGGTGACTATAATAACACTAGCATTTGCTTTAAAAATGTGTAATTTGTTCCCACTCCTACTTTACAGAAGTAAGAACTGTAGTTAGAACATAGAAAACATAAAGCACAAATGACAAAACAAATGCAATGAGCTTCTCATACAGAAGACCGTTTTCTCATCAAGATTAATGTGATGGGTCGTCAGAAGCAGAAAATTCAGCACTGCGATAAAAATACTCGTTACCCACTAAAATGAGTGGTGCACACAGAACACCACCATGAAGTGCTTTCAGAAGAAGCCTTGTTACATACAGCAGAGGTAACTACAAAAAATAACAGCTGAAGTGCAGGCAGCACCTTCTTTGTTAAAACAATGCACTTTGCATTGAGAAGTAATTCAGAGAGCCCCTTCCCCCCGCAGCCCCTGCGGCTCTCCCCATGTGTGCCTGGCCATCATAACAGAGAATTCATGCTCCTGCCACTGCCAAATAACAGATGCAGCCGACAGGGGAGACAGAACAATAACTGTTTGTATAGGTTAGGAAGAAAGGCTGCAGCCCTCTCCTCCTTGACCAAGAGAGAAGGCATGGAGCTTCTATAGGAAAACACACAAGTTACATTTCTTTGTACAGTTACCAGTTACAAAAACAAAAAATGAAAAAAAAAAGCAAAGCAGTTTTTCACTGTCTTTAATTTTGCTCGAAGAAACAGTGCCTTTAAATAAAGCAGAATGAGTTAAAGTGACAATGAGACCACCTGATTTTGCTAGTATCCTCTACATAACAGAAAACACACATTTTCCTCAATTTAAAATTTTCCTCAATTTATTATTTTTTCCACATTATGAGATATAGTCTAGCAGGCTACACAGAGCTTAGTTATATACTGATAATTACATAATGAATGACAAACAGAGGTCACAAATATAGGCCACTTGCTCTTAGATCTGTGTTAAAGTTTCAGGAATGAGATTCTAATCCTTATTACTTTGAGAATGAAAATAAAACAGTTTATAGTGTGATTTATTTTCAGACATTTGGAAAAAATGCTAAACACAGATGAGACGCAGAAGGATGCCAAAAGGACTTGGACAAAATTATCAAAAGGTCAACATTAATCAGACACTGTTTTGTTTTTAATTATCAGTGCTGTTCCAAATCACTGTTGCCTATATTTGCACATTACTGTGGAGACATAATATGTATGCACCCAAACAGGTGGCATGTTACACATTTTAAAGCATCACATCAAAGAAAAAAGGGTTTAGGCAAATAAAAAGAGTTAGATCATCTTATCTCCCAACAAGGTAAATCTGTCTACATAGGAACACAGAAGAGCTGCTGTGAAGCATAGCGTATGTAGCCTGCTCATCAGCAGCTTGCACAAATGGTGCTCCAGATGTATAGTTGTTCAAGACAGCCCAAGGCAACAATTTTGATCAATTCTAATGTGATAAAATGCTGCAGGGAAAGCGTGCAGAAACGTGTTTACATCAGCCTTTAATCAAACTGTTGTTCGCTTCCAAAGAACCTTAGGAAGCACTAATGAGACATGAGTTTTGGCAGTTTCCTCATCAAAACAAAGACTCTCTTCCTCAGTCTGAAGCAGCTTATCATCCAGGCAGCTCCCTGGATGAATGTCACCTTGGCACACAACTCAGCAAGCCACCTGTTAGGACAACTTGGCTGGAATCAAGCAGTGATCCAGGGTAAGTTCAAATATCCACCTGCCTGTTTCTGGACACCTGATCTGCTTTCTTGCTCACCACCATAATATGGCAGCTTCTCTTTCTTGCTCATAAGACATGTTCATGAGAAGAGTAAGAAAAAAATCATAAATAAATACTAAATATCTTTTAACCCAGCTTAGTCTTTAACTCTTACTACTATATTTTCTACTACTTAGTTTCACAAATCTTTCTTTACAAGGTATGTTCCTGCAGACAACAATTTGTAAAGATTTATTTACAACTCAGTGTAGCATCACCTCCAGAGAAAGCAAGACAAAACAACATTCAACTTACTGTATATATAACCATAGTGAAAGCAGGAAAGCTATGGAGTCCACAGAACCACTGGCAAGCTCTAAGAGGCATTATTTCATGCTACAATTTTAAACAAATTGCTCTTTCTCCAGAGGCAGTACCTGGGATAATTTCTGGTAGCAGGATACACTGTGTACATCACATCCAGCTGAGCCTTTCTCTCCACTGCCACCACCACATCTGGTAGGTATGCTTGTGTGAAGCATGTGTGAAAACTTAAGTAAAATTTTAAATTCACATTGAATAGTAGCTGTATGATGCTAATGAATCATGAAAAATCTCACTGTGGTCAGGAGAATCACTTTTGTTTTACACCTGGGCATGTGAAGAATGAGCAGAGCCACATTGCACAGGCAGAGCCAGCATCATCATTTTTCAGATGCACCCAGTCTGATTTCCTTTAACGCTATAATCATTCTGTATTTCTCAATTGTAGGTCTTAATAAGACATCTAATACTGAATATCGATAGCTAAGTGACTC